CAGCATAAAAAGCAAAAGCAGCACTGGCTGGTGTGACTAGGTTGGGTTGGAGGGCCCTCCCATACACCAAAAATTCGCGGGTTCAACTCCTGTGGTTTCAGTCCCCTATTGGGATATGTATGAGAGGCAACCAATTGATGTTTCTCTCTCTCCCTTCCTCTCTCTAATATCAATAAAAGATTAAAAGGATTAAAAAAACAAAAAACAAAAAGCCAAAACCGGTTTGGCTCAGTGGATAGAGCGTCGGCCTGCGGACTGAAGGGTCCCAGGTTCGATTCCGGTCAAGGGCATGTACCTGGCTTGCGGGCACATCCCCAGTGGGAGATGTGCAGGAGGCAGCTGATCAATGTATCTCTCTCATCGATGTTTCTAACTCTCTCTCTCCCTTCCTCTCTGTAAAAAATCAGTAAAATATATTAAAAACAAACAAAAAACCATTTTCCTTCTCTGAGCAGTCCTTGACATCTCTCATATGCATTACATAAAAATGTATTTAATGTTAATGTTAAGAACTAACAAAGAAATACTTTTATATTTGCTGGAATTAAGCATGTGAAAAGAGGAACTGCCATTATTAAAATTACTATTCATTTCCTTTACCTCTCTGAAAGTTGGAGAGGCTTAAAACAGAAAAGCCAAATGTAAAGGAGGAATTTTCCCTATCATGCTGAAAGTGGTGCTATGAGATACATAAAAATTTTTTTCCCTGCAATTGGTTCCTGGATAATTATTGAATTTTCAGAATATCTTTTGAAGTTGCATTACTGTTGAACTTAGGAGTTTTAGATGATATGTGTTTATTGTTTTGGTGTAGATGAATTGTCAAGGGAGGGTTTTCAGCAAAATTTTAGACAATGAGCACAGGGGAGCTTCTAAAAGGATTTTAAGTTCTGACAGACAGTAAGTGCTAAATGCCAATTTTATCTCACAAAAACAAAAAATGTTATCAATTTATACTTTCTGATAGCCTTTTAAGAATTCTTTTTTGAATTCTCACCTGGATTAAAGTTTTGATGCATCATGTTTTTACTTTTTTATTTACAATTTCTATCCTTCCTTTAAATGTACAAAAGTTTTTAGAAAAACAAAAGCAAAAAAGAAACCCTAGAACTTTACATTTCATTTCAATAACAAACTGTTGTCTTAGAGCCAGCTATTAGAAACTTCTATTTATCAAATGAGAAAATATTTAAAGTGAAGGAAAAAAAGTTATAGAAAATAAAAATTTATCATCTATTAAAATTTCAGGAAGTTTTACATTATCTAAAGCAATTCTATAATTTTATTCATATATTTTGTGGAGTTCACATATCTTTTTCTTACAGCAAACATAACACTGTAGGCCACAAGGAGCTGCAGTACTATTGTTTAATTAGCAGCAAATTAATATTTTATATCTGAATAACTGGACAATAAATAGCCTGCTTCTTTGGATGTGGATGTTTAAAATGTAGTATTACTGCAGCTTCATAATGTGACTGCTATTTTACAGAGCTTATACACACGCAAAAAATACGATCTTTGTCTATATTTTATACAAATACAACAGTAGTTTGTGAATACATTTTAAGTACATGATATACATGATAAGCCACTTGATTTCCCAATATCACAGAATAGCCATTTTAAATGCAATAAAAATATACAAAATTCAGCCTGGAATGCAGATTTTTTTTCTTTTCTATTTTGACTCAAAACTTTATCATTAGAACATTTAAAAATATTAGTTCAAACACTTTTTCATCAGATAAAAATACAATTTCAGCAGTCCAGCTTACGTTCAGGCACGATGCAATTCATTTCCTAATGGATTCCCAGTTTTTGTTAAATTCAAAGGGCCATTAGTAACACATAGCTTGTTCTTCACTCTATACCATATTATAAAGCCCACTTTTCTTTATGAGTTACAGTCATCTTGTGGACAAAAGCTGGGTTTGTTCTGGTAACATTTGCATGTCCAAGATTTCCTTTTGCAAGTGCACATGAATACATTGTGGTGGGTGGTGTAAAAGTTTGTTAATGACAAATTAAGTCACAGTATAAAAATATATTGTACACCTTTACACCTAATGAAGTCCTTTTTTCCTATGGATAAAAAAAAATACGACTGAATGAGACAGAGACGTTTGTAGCACCATGGAGAGTTGTATCCCAAGTTACATTAGCAGCATGATCCAACATAATTGAAGGAGTGTTTCTGAGAAGATAAACATTCATTCTGGTTCATCTGTACCACTGAAGCTTATATAATGAAGTATGTTATACATTAGCAATAGTTCTGTTATTTCTACAGCTAGGATGCTTATCAAAAGACACTGCCTTCCATCCTCAGAGGGTTGATAATGTTGTAGGAGGGCATACGGGTGATCTTTGAGTGCCTTTTTGTTGATAGTATTGAGTTGCTTTATATGATCAGAAAGTAGCTCTTATGGGTTTTTAGCACAAAACTACACAAGACAACTTATGTAATCTATGTAATCATAACAAACAACCTGTGTTGTCAACAGGACTACCGACACAGTGAGAAAAATAAGACAAAGTCAACTTAGCCACTCATTTGTCAGAGTTAACAGTCTGCCATTACTAATGAAGAATACTCAACATTTAAATGATCTCCTCCAATGTCACATGGATCTCAGTAGGCTAGAAGCAACTTGGGTGAACTGGTATTTTTACATTTACATACTGGGAAGACAGTGTGTTTTGAGACACGTAAACCTTGTAAAAAAATAAACCATTGTAAAACCTTATGAAAAGACACACACTGATTCTGTGCAATATAGCAAATTGATAAGAAAACACTGTAAAAATGTACCTGTTTAAAATATCGTCTACCATTTTTGAACACAAAGCATTATATATCAAAGATCTACATATATATCATCTAATGGCACTTGAAACAAATCATAATAAGTCTTAAAATAAAAGGCATAACCTATAAGAAAGTTTCTGTAAAGGTTTAGATTGTTTGAAAGTGCTATATCTTGTAATGTGTGTAGTATAGAGGTGGACCAAGCTCTATTTTTATTAAAAAAAAATATATATTGGCCTATATATGTGTATTGCTCACTAGATGAATGATCCTGAAAATATGTACTCTTTAACATTCATTATTAGCTTAGAAAAGCAATCAGCTCTGGCTCATGTTTCAGTCAGTATATGGTTTTTAAAAACCGCTACTGTCCAAATTAACACAAATGACTAAGAATAATAAAGCACAAGCAACAAATAGGCAAAAATACGTAGTTTGGAAGAAATACTAAATGAAATTAAAAAGCTGCACAAAGAGTGGTGCGTGATCAGCCAGGACAACTCAAGTTTTGAAAAACTGAATTTGGTGATAGGATTTAAAAATGCAAATTTTAACAGTGACCAATAAGTATAAAGATGACATTTGCATATATCAATGGATAGTAATTGCTTACTGTGCCATGATCCTTCCACAGTCATGCTTCCATGTCTGGTGATCTAATTTTCACACACACACGTGGAAGTTCGAACTGAATGAGGTTCAATATCTTGTCTGAGGTCCACATTCTAAACTGAAACATTTTTACTTAATGATAATCTTTATTATTATTATTTTTTATTTTTAACCAAGCAAAGGCACTACTAGAAATTTCAAGGATGATGATTCTGGCCACTGGAGAATAAAAACAGCATTGGCAATAATTATTTTTAATTATATCCAGTTGACATAAAAACAGATGTCAACTTTTTTTTCTAGGAAAGAAAGAGAGCCAATTCTGTGTTGCATACTTGTTAGACCATTGTGCAATGAAAATAAATGAGTCTGCCTCATCTTTAATAGAAATTTTCTCCAAAATGGTTTAGTGACCACTACAGTCAATTAAAAACAACAACAACAAATTAAGCTGAATTCCCTCTTACTTGGAAGTGCTATTTTAAGTCTGTGGGGCAGCAACAGGCAAAGAGGTGTATGTATGAAAATTAAGACTCTATACTTTTAATACTGGTGCCCTGAAAGATGTGCCTCCATGTATTTAAAATCCATACAGGGCGAGAATTAGGCTAAAAAAAAAATATACATATATGGCGCCATTCCCATTTCTAAAATGCTTTATTTAATAAATCCTGGTACTCCCTTTTTAAATTTTTTATTAGCAGTGAAATACAGCCTACTAAGGCCAATGTCTCAGTTCATCAATTTGATTTCCTCTTTAACAAATTTTAGATAAAGTAGTGTTTCCACACTTGTATTTGTGATTTCTATTTAAAAATAGGTTTTCTATTTATTTGTGCTCTGTCACCAAATTTTTTTTCCATTTTTAAAAATGGTCATTAAAGCAATATTGAACACTAATCATTCAACTAATGATTTCGGTAAGCAATCTGTTTCATAGAAACTAAAGGAAGCAGTAATAAAGCAGAGCTAAAAGCCTACTTTCAGAGCAAATATTCTCCTAATCAAAAGCTTAGGAGCAGTTTGAAAAAACTTTTAAATGTATTTCCTTATTAACATATATAATCTTAATGCCTTTGGAACACTTTTATAAAATGTAATTTTTAATAATAAAATTTAAATACATAAGTATAAAACTACAGCTCCTAGGACTAAAAAAATAGGAGCATGATAAAATATCAGGAGCCAAAGTTCCTTAAGAGAGCAACTTTGATTCTATGAAGTGCGATAAATGTGTGTGTGTGTGTGTGTGTGTGTGTGTGTGTGTATAGATACAATATATATAGTGAAACCCCCATTTACATTATTACAATTTACATTCCTCCACAAATTATACTACTCCCAAATATTTTAAATAATGCATTATATTCAGTAATCTGCACTCATTTTTAGAAATTCTTGGTAAACATTGCAATCTGCAGTGATAATTGGCCCTATAAATAGAAAAAGAAGCTTCCACATAGGGCTGAGTGCTCAAAAATTTTTTTCTTTCTTTTTCTTTTTTAGAGAGATATATACTCTTCTATAACCTCCCATCCCTCCCCCACCCCCCCACCTGCCCCAACGGACAGGCTCCCAAATAAGGTGTTAACAAGTGCTTAATAGATATGTTTTTAAAAGTTGATGTTCCTACTGACAATTAGAAAAATATAATAATTTGACCTTTCAGAAGATTATGGTCGTTGTCTAACATGAGGAAAGCCCATAACGATTTTATTCAGTGAACAGAATATTTTTGATTACTTTCACATTAACTAAGATAGTGCTTGTTTTACTTTACTTTTTCTCCCTCTAAAAATTCAACTTATTTACAACATTCCCCGCATTTCCCAGAGATGTGTAAAAGTGGGTTTTACTGTATATATTTTTAGTTGCTTAAAACTTTGTGATCATTCTTCAAATAGTTTTCTAATGCATTTCACTTTAAATTCTCCATCTGAAAATAGCAAGGAAAGATGAATTAACACTGAATAAGAAAGATACCCTAGTGCAAAACTGTTGTTTTTGCTTTTGGCTCTTAAGGGAAAGAAAATGTAATCAAATTTAGCTACAAGTGATATAAGCAATAGGCTTTTGCTTTACTCCTAAACAGTCTAGTTTCCAACTCTGGCAACAGGGGCATGACCCCTAGACAAGTCCCCAAGTTGAACTGTATACTTCGCATCTATCTTCCTGTTTAGGATGTTTTTCACACCATCTAACCTGGGACAGTCCACTCTGGGGTAAATACACCTAATACCTGTGTTCCACAATGGTTCTAGGTTCTGGACTAACAATGAAAATAAAATTGCTGGCTGCACTTGACCCACCCTTTGGCCTTGAAAGGTGGAAAATATCAAAGAGAGCTGTCTATATACTGACTTTGAAGACTCCGATGCCATATACGTTAGTATTAAATGGAAAGAGAGCAATTTAAGCAGTTTAAAACGTGGCAAAATATCCTGTGTACTAATTTAAGGCCAACTATTAAGTAACATGGAGTGCGGTATCACCTTGATAGGAATCTCTTTTTGCTATAAATACTGGTGCTTTGTGTTTAGGTTTTGTTTTCTTTATATGTGAACAATAAAGACAGCAAATATCTGAGCCAGACAATAGCAAGTCTTCAAAATATACTGACCTGAAATTATTGTAGATCTAAGAAATACTAGTTATCTCCCCAAACTGGATTCTTAATTCATTTGAAACATTTGATTTATGAATCCATTTAGAAGCTAGTAAAGATTTAAAAAAACTCTTGGTTATTCATATACATTTCAGAAAATTTACATTCTCTTGCAAAATTTTTTAATGAGCCAAATGTCAAAAGGAGGAGCCATTAGTAATGGAACAAAAATTCTAAGATGAAAAAGTAATTTGAATGTGGGATTTGTAAGACTTTACTACTAATAATGGCTTTCCTATATGAAAAATAACCTTAAAATATGACAATTGGCAGTGAATTAGGATGAAATACCCAGGTAAACATAACTGGACACCAATGGTTCCAAAGCTAGTTTCTATTTTATACTGGCTTAATAAAAATTGGTACTATACAAAAGCAGAAACTTTTATACTGTCTAAAAGTAGGCACTAAAATAAAAAGAGTCATCTAAGGCAGGGCTACACATACGTTTCTGTAATAAACCCACGTCCTGGCGTCCTACTGAAAAGCCTGATGGAAACGCGGTAGGGTGGTGCTTGTGCTTAAACTACTGGTGAAAGCTGCTGACAGAGAGTGCAGAGAGCCAAGACCTATAGTGTTTGCAGGATCCTGAAGATCCTGTGTCTGTGAGGGGAGCTGAGACATAGAAGAATGTGCTTCTTCTTGGGAATAGCTCATTCCAAGGCTCCCCACTGATATCGGATTATAGGGAGGGCCATTTAATGGTATGAAATTAAACAACTGAGAAAAATCCAATGCTGGTGTGTTTAGGGGGTCACTGATGGAAATAGAGCTTTTTGACAGGGAGAGGTCCCCTGCACCATCATCAAGGGACCCAATCTGAGAATCTAACCCTAGTTTAGATGACGATGCTTGAGAATCCTGGGATGAAGAGGGCACGCCACCTTGTAGCTCCATCAGATAACTCTCAATTTCCCCCTTTAATGGCTGTTCTTTTTCAGGAATAGAAATTGCGTATGAGGTAGAACTGAATGGGTATTTGAAGGAAAGGTGGTGAGAAGGATGAACAGCATCCATATCTATTGGGCATGTCATTCCCAAAGGTAAAGTTGTGATCATTTGGTGGGCAGATCCCGAGCTCTGCATGGACTGAAATGGAGTGTTATAGAGGTTTAACTGCAAAGTGTTTGTGAATGGCTTTGATAACAGTTCACTGGAAGGTAAGGACATCACCGGAAGGAGCTCATCTTTTATAGGCACAGAAACATTACAGGTAAATGGATCCAGAAAGTCCACTGGTTCTGTTTTGACCTTCAGAAGTTCTTGATTGTGACTCTTCTTCATATGTCGAGTCAGGTGATCCTTTCGGCCAAATCTCTGTGCACAATACTGACAGAGGAAGTCCTTTCTTCCAGTGTGCACCACCATATGTCTCCGGACATCTTTCCGGGTGTAGAATCGGCGGTCACAATGCTCGCACTGGTGCTTTTTTTCTTTAATCCCGCCAGATGACTTGCCTGCATGAGATTTAAGGTGCTCCAGCAGCACTCCTGTGCTTTCAAAAGTCTGCAAACAAACCTTGCAAGTGAGGTCACCACTTGTTGCAGCATGCAAGGCCAAGTGACGTTTGAATCCAAGCTTGGTGTTGTAGTTCTTCCCACATTCTTCACACTTAAATGTCTCTTTGTTAGGGTCATGTGTATGTAGGTGATTCTTCAGGTGATCTTTGCGGTGAAACATTTTCTCACAATAATTACACTTGTGGGTTTTCTCAGGAGAATGAGTAGCCATGTGCCTTTAAATACAGACATATTCTGTAAGTATCATGACAAAAATGGTACGTATTCACTTTTCAAATGGAAGCTAAACTGCTATGCTAAAACAGAATTTCTCTAATAATGGACACTTTTAAATTTAGTATGTACTATAAGGGTAGTTAATATACCTAAATATTGCAAAACTTGAGTCATTTAAGTTGCCACTTTAGTTTTCACTGGCTGGTTTTTAGCTATTATTACAAAAGCAAATGAATAAGACTGAATATACTCACGTAAACGTCCAGACCTTTTCTTGTAATTTCTTTGTACAAATGGAAATTCTATTCTCATTAAGCATTTCACTTTTAAAAAATCCAAAGACACTAACACATAAAAATATGTGATTTAGAATACTAAAACTAGCCAACGTCTAATCTACTTAACATTTCCTCTCTGCAAATCAGCTAAAAAATGTATATACAATTATATACGTTTACACTGGCTTCACATGGCCAACATCATAGCAAATATAATCTGAAAGACAAATAGAGTTTAATACCTTTGTAATTTGTACTTAGAAACAAAGGCCTTGGTGCAGTCTTGTTGTATGCACTTGTAGGGCCTCTCTCCTGTGTGAGAGTAGGAGTGAACCTTTAATTTCTCAACACTGTTAAAGGCCTTGTCACACAGTTGGCAAGGAAAGTTTTTTCTTGGTTTGGTTTCACCACGCTTACGTTTCCCTGAAGGGACTTTCTGGGTATCTCTTACTTCTGACAAATCACCAGGAATGACAGTGGCCATCGCAGCCTAAACCAGGCCTTCTTGTTGGACACTTGGGAACTGCCCAACTCCACTAAATGATTTAGCTTTAGGTGGCTTCTCAAGTTTCATGTGGTCGTAAAAGAAAGCAAAAAGGGACTGGAAAAAAAAATAAGAAACAACTAGTTTGTAACTAAATTTAATTAAAAATTTTTTATTTGCTATGTGATGCTTTTGAATTAAAAAAGAAACCATAAAATGGATTCAGCTGGTCTAATGTAATATCTGTGGGTTTCTTTATATTTGTCAAAATACATATTAATGCATTGCTCAGAATGAACAGTTCACACATCTCTTGAAATTCCACCTGATAAACGTTGTACTTAGGGAAAGCAGTCGCGATTTCAGAAGCTCTGAGGAAGCATCAAAACATGACACTAATCTACAAGGCACTTCAGTCTCTTCCCAATGATATCCCTCCATTGGTGGTGTTTATAGCTTTCCCTGTTTTTAGTGTCTTGTTTGTGACTTTTATGCCATCACAGAATAAACAGAACTGTGAATTATGAAAAAACAACAAAAAAACATGACACTAAAAGTGGCTTTATTAAGCTTCAAATTTTACAAGGTACTAGAGAACATAAATCTGACTGAGAACATAAAAATGTTTCCACAAATATTTTAATGTCAAAATTATTTTAATTTTTACAAGTTGGCTCTAGTCACATTCTTTATTACAGGAAAATAAAATATAAATAAGCAACTGAAAACTCTTTTAGGCACCTTGTGAAACATTTAGTCCATGAAAGATGTACTTAATGCACAGACACCAGAGGCCTGAAAGAGTTGAATGCATCACCCAAAGTGAAAATTTACTCTTTATACCAGTGTCATCACACGCAGAGGAATTTCTGAGTCAAGAGTAGAAATGACTTATCTTCATAACAAATGTGCATTCTTGACATGGAAAAGCCTTTTTTTTTTTTGCATTTAACTGGTGTCTGTGTCCATTGGTTAGGCTTATATGCATGCATACAAGTCCTTTGGTTGATCTCTCCCCTTTACCCCCACCCTCCCCAAGGAAAAGTCTTTTGATGTTATATTAGGTGAGGACCATGGCTCCTTGTCATTTGGAGGGAAGAAGGATTCGGTTGAAGTGATTTTCCTCCCCGTTTTTTTTGTTTTTCACATCATAGAAAATGATTCTATTCATTGGGCAGGCTGAACTAGAGTCATCAGGCTTCCCTAAGAGCGGAGGGGTCAGTCTTTGACACACCTGTAACCTGTGTGCAGCACACCAGTGGGACTTTTGGCTTAGAGCATAATACCTGTGCAAGGATACATCATTATGAAGGTGTTTCAGGTTGTAAAAACATGTGTCAGAGTTCCAATTCATTATCGGTGCTTTGAGAAAGAATGAAATGAACATATTTTATGACAAAGAATATGTCTACTTAAGCAAAAATTTTAAAAACTGACTGAAACCTTTGAAAATTTATGGACAAGAGAGAGTTAATAATTTCAACTGTATTTCTCAGAGTAAGAAAACAACCCCCAAAGATTCAATTGGCATAAAAGAATGCAATGACTCCTCAAAGTTCATGAATGCTAGTTTAGCAATATACTTTTAAGAGACACAGAAATGATAGTGAGGTAAAGACTGGGGGTGGGGGGTGAGGGGAAGTGGGAATGGGGTGGAGAGGGGTTAATGGGGGGAAAAAGAGGACATCTGAAATATTTTCGATAATAAAAATAAATTTAAAAAAAGAGACACAGAAATAATAACTATAACCTCTTTAAAAAGGATCTGATTTTTAAACTAAAAACTGAATGTGGCCAAATGACTGCTGTCAACTATTTATCGAATTTTTTTATCCTATTACATATTCAGGAAAAAAAATCAGTTTCTTCACATCACTTGTCTTTGGCATGAGACTGACACTTGTCTTCACAAGCTAGAGGTATGACACTGACCTTCACAGATTCCAGTAATATTTTTGCAGGGGCTCTGAATTTAACCTGCATTTTTGTAAAATTAAGTGTATATTACAATAGACCCTATTGTATTTTACTGTAGAGATGTCACTAAACCAGTGGTCGGCAAACTGTCCCCTTGACTGTGGCTCTTCCACAAAATACCACGTGCGGGTCGCACGTACAGTGCGATTGAAACTTCGTGGCCCATGCTACGGGGCCAAAGAGCTGCATGTGGCTCGCGAGCCGCGGTTTGCCGACCACTGCACTAAACAGGCAAAATAGAGTAATTACTTGGTGATTAAAATGTAAAGCGTGTGGGTAAGTTTATCAGTATTTGGTTCATGCATCCTTTCTTCCTCAGTAGGTAGACACAGGCAAGGCCTTTCTTTATGCTGTTCAGACTGTCTAAGTCTCCACTGCAGTTTAAAAGTGACATGAACACAATAATACAACTGATGTTACTAATGCTAATGCAGTATGTGCCCTCTGATTTAAGATCGGGTTTGGAATCTCAAGGACTTGTTCTTTTTCTATATATTCTTATTCAGGAGACACCTTCTCTGCCTCACTCAGAAATATTTAGAGTTATTCTTCTGTAACCAGTAATGACACTGTAAATTGGTATAAAGCACTCTCCCAGGCAGGAAAAAAGAGCAATTTTGACTATCTGATTTCCTATCATGATGCTTTTATGCCCTTATTTAGAACATCATAGGAAACAAGCTAATACATTTTTCAACTGTAAAATCAACACAGAATGCAAAGAATCTAAATCCCTGTTATATAACTAATATCTGAAAATATTTCAAAGACTGGTCATATCTGTCAGCGTGTTATGAGATCCAAACATAATGGGCAGAGAATTCCAGTTGAGAAAAATGATAACTTCTAAGTTATTGAAAAAATTATACAAAGTACACCATTAAGCAATATACAAAAGCATCTGATTATATTAAAATTGGCGATACTCAACATGGAGTAACAAATGAATTGTTATCTTTGGATGTACATACTGAGCAATGAAGAACTGCAGATTTCAAATATTACACTTTTCTAAGACCAGCTGAAATTTTTTCATGGCTAATAATATCTTTTTATCTCAATATATTACAAAACTCAAATAAGTTATTGATGCATTTAAAACTTCAGAATAAATACAAGGCTGTGAACTCAACATCAAATAAAAGTATACATTCCTAATATGCATATCAATCAATTACTCTAAAGGTACATGCACAGAACTATAGGGATTTTTGTTCAATGCATACCTGATGACAGATGGAAAAAAGCCTCAGACCTTGATCTTAGCCAGTCCCACTGACTCTTCGTGGAAGAGAGCGGAATCCAGTCCTTCCCATTTTGGCCAATCTATGAAACAAAAAATAAGAATGGACTACACTCTAAGTGGAACCAGCATATAAATGATGGAAAATAAAGAACAAAAGAATTGCAATTTCATGGCACATGCTTACATTCCATACTCTGCTGACAAGTCATGCATTAATTTTTACCAGTTGCAAATTTATTAGTTCTAAGCACATTTACAGAATGCAGAAACAAAAAATAAAATAGTATTACCTATATCAGTGGCATTTTGTGATGCTGAATGACTCCCCATTTCTTTCCCAAATTTAACTTTTAAAATCTAACTTGCCTACTGAGAGAAATGGATATTAGAGCTACTATTTGTAATCAAAATTTCATTAAGCTTAATATTATGGAAGAGACAAACTCAGTTCTCTCTTGGAGAGAGTGCATGTGGAACATCATCAAAGAACAGCAGTCTCCTGATGGGAGCACCTCACATGCCCACACTGCACACGCTTGTGCAATTGGGCTTGTTACCTGCAATACCTGACAATTTATCTCTCCTAATGCTGCAAAGATTGCTGAAATGTAGCAATAACTCTGTGCTCTTCAGATTTCAAAATCATGCAAGGGAAGTTAAATATAGGTTTGCTGTAGGAGAAGGGAATGCCAGGAAGAAAGCATCATTTGGTTTGAAGAGTACATTGTTAAACATCTTGAAATATCTTTAAAATGCCTATTAGTAGCATGATCTTCAGGAGACTAAGACCATGTATAGAAAAAAACCTGTTAAGTGATTTTTTTATTGTACAAGCAAGTGTGAAAAGAATAATGGTCAAAGGCAGAAAAAACTACAATTATTATAGAGAGTACAGGGCCCAGAGAGCTAAAGTAAATTGGGTATCTTAGAGATGAACGTTCAGAATCATGATTATAAGAACTTTAGAGGGATAATATAAATCAAATAGATACAATAAGAAAAGAATCCACCAAATGACAGAATAAATGAAAATAATTTTACTTAATGTTCTAAACACAAATCTAACTAATTTCCCCTGACATCAAAATTTTCACGTATTTTAAGAATTTGATGATGTGTAAATAAAATATTTAATAGAGGACATTCAAGCATCATTATAAAAATTCTAAGGGTATATTTGAAAGCAGCATTATTCTCATGGTTTAACAGTCAAGAAACATAAAAATTTAGACTAATAAAAGATATTTAAAAAGTTAAAGCAAAAGCTCCATTCTTTTGTAAAGCACAGGACATGCATAAATGGAAGAGCTGAATTCTGCACATCAAAACTGCAAAATAATAAAATTAACTTTGTAAATACTTACTTGCCCAGGGCACATATTGAGTTTTTGGCAGGGTAATTAAGAATATGAGTCTGTTTTATGTATTATGATATTTTAACAATATAAATACCTTACAAGTGTACAGCGTTTCCATCTCTATTACCGCCCTGGAATTCAATGGATCTGAGAGGCGGACACATTTATCATCACTGCCATTTTAAGGTGAGAGGCCCAGAGAAGCTGAACATCTTGACAGCGTATATGTGGTTAGGCATTTGTGGTCAAGGAGGGGCTTACGCACTAAAACTCCTATTTCACTCTTATTCTACTGCATTCTAAAAGAGCAGGTTGGCAAACCAATATGAAAGTAGATAAATCCTGTTATTACACTTAAAAAAACAAGAATGGGGGGTAGTGCCTATTTTCTCTATCAGAGCTGCCAATATGATCCCCACAGAGAAATAAATTTAAGATTTAAAAGGCTCCTTTTAGTAAAGACAGTTTGCAAAGTAAAATTTAAATAATTTAAGTATCAGTTAAAATAATAACTAGTATACTTGTTTAATGGGTAGGAAAAGATCTAAAACCAAAGATGACTAGTAAACAACAAATTATATATTCTTTTTTCCCAAACAATATAAATTTTACTGCTATCTCAAATACATTCATAAAAATTTTATTTATGCTTATTATTCATTGGCATTTATAAAAGTCCTTTTGAGTTGAAGTATTTCAATATAGTTTAAAATTATGCATCTTGATTTGAAATATTACATGTCTAAATTACCCCCACTACATATTTTACAGTCTGAAGTGAAATAATTTATTTTATCATAAAACATAATTCCAATATCACAGTGATTTCTCTACATTCAACCTAACCATTTTGAGTTCTTATGAGTGGCCAAATAATTTCAAAGGACTGCTAATTATTTCCCCAAACAAAAGAAACCAGGAGCTGGTTAGGGTTCATTTTTACTTGGCCTGGTATAATAAACATAAAAAAATACAATTTGCAGTAATGCAATACTACAACTAAAATGTCAACTAAAATTATTTGTGTATTCATTCTCTTGTATAGGATTAAAAAATATTTAAAAAGGCAAATAGTGACTAATATTCTAAAAAATGTGCAACAAAATTCGTACTTCTATTTTGTCTTTTTTACATATCAAGCATTGGTTACTATGCTTCTCAAATTATTAAAGTTCATTTTAGCCTTGATCTGAAGAATTGTGAAAGAAAGGTAGAATCTGTACATATAACCATTTCAAATCGCCCTAAGATGAAATAGCACTTCAGAAAATCCTTTTAAGCTTTTGCTGACATTTTTTCTTAGGGCAACTTCCTATACATAACAATAATAATTAAAGGGGATATTGTGTGCATACAAGTTTATCTCCCATGTTTTACATTTTAAAATAGTGACTCACAGAAAAAGAACAAGCAACATGAATCATACATCAAGGGTCTACTAAAATGAATTCCTATTAGGATGCTGGCAAAGGAAGAGACCTGTATTGAAACTGTTTCTATATTTAAAATGTCACAGTTCTGCTGTGATTTTTTTTTATACTTACCTGCATCAATAATTCTTTCATATTTAAGTTAAAAGGCAAACATATACTTTGCTAATTAAGGGCAAATATCATCCATAAGCAAAGCTTTATTCTCCTTTATGCTAATCATAAGACACTATTAGTAAACAATTCAGAAAATATCAACATTTGCTTGAAACATGTTTTTCTTATAAATAGGTAGGTAGCAAAAAAAACTTACCAGTAGTTAATACTTTAATTTACATATATAATACACAATAGAGCTTTGAATAATGTGAAATAAATTATTAACAAGATAAAATAATTGAAGATAGTCAATTTTTGAAGTAAAGGCAACAGCATACATAAAAATAACAGAATATTCTTTTTGAACCTGTATAATAATGTTAAAAAATTTTTACAGCATTCATTTTTTTGTAGGACTGTAAAATCACTTATTAAAGAATAAATGGAAAAAAGATATCTTGCAACTATAAAACATCTTAAATCAATTTAAAAACAGACTGTAGGTAGCATTGGGGCAGGAGCTGAGTCAGTTTTATTCACTGCTATTTCTCATAAAAGTAAAATTTCTGGTGAATTAATGCAAATAATTAAAGGAGGGCAAGTGCTTATCAGCAACAAAATGAAATACAGCCTTGCTCAGGCACTATAGTAGACATAGGACGGAAGATACACATCTATGTTCAAGTGAAAAAAAAAAACCCCAAACAGCATAAATGCAATTTGGTTCAACATGCTAAATGCCTTAGCTTTGTAATGTCTTAGATGAAAACAATAGCAATTCTAATAAGAGTTGTCTAAAATACTTTTGTTTCAGAAAACAAGCCTTCTCTGATTGATCTTATTGCTAAGGAATCAATTGGTTAAAGTAGATAATATCAATTCAGTTCCCATTCCTAATAAAAATTTCTAAAGTGAAAACATGCCTAGTGGCTGTACCCATGCCTGCTATGGAGATGAAGGACGCCTGGATGGTTAGATGGTTAGATGGGGCTGCTGATGTCTCAAGAGGAGAAGAGAAAGGAGGAGTGCCCACTGCAAAGCAGGAGACATAGCAGAGAGCTGGGTCTGGCACCTGACCCGCCCAAGTTGGAAGTAGGTACCCAAATACCTGGAATATTGAAAATTCAGCACTCAGTTTCCTATAGTAGACGTCATAGTTAACTAAATTAATTAAAAACAAGATGTCTTCTTTGAATTGCTGTATTTGATGTTTTCAACTTTTGAGGAATTCATGAAAATGCAGTTCTAGGACAACCCTTTAGAAATTTACCATTAAAATTTAGCCTTAACACGTTAAGTGCCCAGCCTGTTTTGTCTTCCGGACAGAAAGTACAGTGTCAGTCACCGGTGACTGGGCGCTTAACGTGTTAACTGACTCTCACTGACTGTCTCTCTCTCTCTCTCTCTCTCTCTCTCTCTCTCTCTCTCTATATATATATATATATATATATATATATATATATATTTATATTTATATTTTAATCCTTACCTGAGGATATTTTTTTCATTGCTTTTTAGAGAGAGTGGAAGAGAGGGTGGGAGGGGGTGAGAGAAGGAGAAAGAAAGATCAATGTGATAGAAACACATCAATTGGCTGCCTCCTGCACTACCCCGACCGGGTTGAACCTGAAACTCAGGTACCTGCCCTTGACCAAGAATCAAACCCAATACCCTTCCATGCGAGGGCCAACACTCTAACTACTGGGCCATACCAGTCAGGGCACCTTAATGGATATTTAGAGAGCCTTATATCTAAATATAAATAAAAAGCAAGTAGAGAAGTGAAGGAAAATAGCATTAGTATTTGATTTTAAGAACCAACAGAAAAAAGTCAATGAATTCCAAAGCAGAACCAACAAAATCCAACGTCAGTTCTCTTCTCTGTAAATTAGGATGCTCCTTTTTGGGTCACCTTAAACCTAAGTATGGCTGTTGATTTTGTTTTCGGTTTCCTTAAACCAGCGGTCACCAACCTTTTGGACCTCACAGACCACCAGTGGTCCGCGGACCACTGGTTGGTGACTGCTGTTCTAGAATACCCAAAGAGAATGACTAGACACTCTGATGATGAAGATCAAATAAATTTTATCTTCCAATTCAGAAATATTTTCCTTGGTTAATTATTTTATGGAGCAAAATGTTTAGGTTAAAAAGTTTCCTTCTCTTTTAGAAACGCTCTTTTAATGATCCATAACTTAGAAGTTAGCATTTCATTTTAACTACTATGTGGGGGAATTTTGTCCCCTTTGGTTGTGTATTTTTATCAAAATAAAAAACTAAAAAATACAGATGGGTGGTATACCAGGGGTGTTTTCATTTACTTCAAATAGAGCAATTAGTATTTGCAAACAGGAAATGAAAGAGGAATAGTGCAAAAGGAAAGCAATGATGTCTGAGAGAGCAATAAATCACAATTATATCTTTATACAAAGTAAGATTGCTTAATGAAAACTTACAGCATTTTTTTAGAGGTTTTCCCTGTTTGTTTGTTTTTTGTGTTTTTTCCCCCCCTTTTTCTGGTATAAAGCATTTTCAAAATACTAGTGCTCTGGTTAGGATTATAAAGTAAGTAGCTCTCACAAGTCAGCTCAATCTGAAAATTTCATAGTTTCCAAGTTGCAAAGAGTTGTTTTTATTTTTGTACCACTGACCCCTTAAATTCCTGGGGCTACCATAAAAATGCTTAGCACCAAGTATAATAATGTTCACACTGAAGGACCCTAAACACTTGGAGGACATGCCTCCATTCATTTTGGTTAACTGTCTAATGCTATTAAAATTACAAATACAGTATAATCCAGACTTCATGTTTGAACTCCCCAAGCACTCATACTGAATCTGTCTATAAATTCAAATGAAAAGGCAGAAATTATACACATTAAGACAAAGTGATGAGGAAAGAAGGTTTTCCTTAATAATAAAAGCTCATGCAGAGAATTAGTTTTAAGCCATCCCAAAGTAAAGTGCACTTTAAATAGAGGTTTGTGGCATGGTACACAACAAGGTACGAATGTTGTTAAGTGTGCAAAATCTTGAGCAGCACTAATCAATCTAATAAAAGCAGAACCCACATCCCAGGAAGGCTCCATACATGCCGTGACTCTGAGTTATGCCCATGTGGCTGTCCAGGACAAAACCACTGTGGAAACAACCACTTCTCTTTATTTCCACATAACTGAAGGTAAATAGATAAGATCTAGGCAAAACTGTCAAGTCAGGAGTGGCTACTCCCTGCTCCACCTACAGGGGAACCATGCACTCCTCCAGCTGTCACAATTAGAAGAGAATTGATAATTATGCTTCTTCACCAATTTTCCTTGAGCAAGAATGAACTTTAGAACTTTACCTCTCTGAGCCTTTTACCCCCTAAAATATGGACTATAAAGCTCTTCTTGAAATTCCTTGTCTCTCCTGCAGGACCATAAATTCACAGAGAGACTATTTATTCATCCTTACATCCCTAGCACCTGGTCAGGGCCCTGGCATGCAGTAGACATTTGATAAATATCTGTTGAACATAACTATAGTCTCTTAAAAGAATTTCAGGAATCAAAACAAGCAGGTAAATGTGCTTTGGGGTTCCTGGAATACCAAATTGGTTTAATGCAAGTCAGAAGACAGCCCCCACAGAATGAAACTGTTTTGACAGAGGGGTGGAAGCTCAGGGGAGCATCAGAACCACCAGGGAGTCTGTCCTGTTTCTGTCTGTAGGTGTGGAAAACTAGGGAGACGAGCATGTGCTGCTCAGAGGCCTCAGCTGGCCGGCATTTTTTGGAACATTTGTGTTTTCATATTGTTCCTTAAGCACATAGCACCTGTTCTGATAATAATTTACCATTTGGAAATAGCCAATGAAGTTTTACGGGAAGGAAAAAGGAGCAAAGTAAAATTAAAAAATCTTTAAAGAGGATGTTCTTCATGTGAAATTAAAATGTGATGAGGATGTCGAAAATATCAGAGAAAATCTTTGACTACAGAGACGAGAGAGACCAAAAGAGAAAATCTATGTAAATGTAGTTGACTAAGTAAAAGTAATGAATTATTTTTCTTTTCCTAGCTTCCAAAAAAACAGCTTTGTTAAAAACAAGTTTAAAAACTACAATGAAGTAGAAAAAAAATCTGTAACTTGAAACACTAAAAAACCATTAACATCTTTTCATATATTTAAAACGTATTTATAAGATACAAATAACCAAAAAAGTTATGCCAACTTGATTTTAACACTTAATCTCCATAGAATGCTGTAATTAGAGAGTTTTGGCCAGATTAATTAATGCACTTTTTATTGATTATAAAGCTCTGTTCATGTAGACTGCGAGGCCGTGCCTGGCTCTCAGCCTATGGTCTCTTTTCCCAGGGCTGAGTCCTGCCTGTGGTCGGTAGAGTTTGGGCCCATCCTCTGGCACTTGGCAAGCCGTCTTTGTTTTTAATCAGTCTTCCCATCCTAGGGCTGAGGGTCCTGGCCTATAAACCTCAATCCTGTGTCTGAGGTGCTGCTGACAGACTTACCTGAAGCGAAATCCATGTGTACCTGATTTCCAAATAGCGCTACACCTTGATTCTGTGCCATTGAGCTGCATTTACAGGTTGGGAAATCTAGATGCCTGTGCGTGTGCTCTTTCCAACAAGGGCTAACAAACTGCTGTTGATCCAGAGTTCCTTGTTCTAGCACCTGCCCCATCCCAGCAAGCAGAGCTAACCTTCCCTCCTCACCTGCTTATAGTTAAACAGACAGAAGGAGACAGAGTGGTAACATGGGATAGTCTATTACTCTGAGCAAGATTCTGACAAAGAGCTCAAGAGTTCATCTGTGGGCTATTTGGGGACCTGAATAACTAAGCTCTTATAGCAGCTATGCACTTTGTGCAGAGTAAGGAAGACTGCTCCTTGTTAGTATTCCAATCCTTCCATCAGACCATAACTATTAATGAAGTCCTACTGAGCATAATACATATAGACAGACCTTAAAATAGTAAGTGGCATGCTTATTATGTGGCATGCTTTTCAAAGCTTTTAATATTTTATCTCAGATTATTTAGAAACTGGAGTGATTGATCACTTTGAAAGCTATGCCATATAATGATAAAAGCCACCTACCTGAGCCCCTGCTCCAAACTCTAGCAAGGTAACCTTATTAATAGACCATGATAGAATGAAGCATTCTGGGTGCCAAACACGGCCAAAGCAGCACCAAGAGGCAACCTAAAAAGAAAACAAGAGTTAGTTTGAAATTCCAAAAGTCAGACCCAATCTGGTCAATGGCATATGAACCAAATTGTTTTTTTATTCATTATCATTTATTCTTATTCTTTTAAAAGTGAAAAGTAAACAAATCAGTATCCTCAGATTAATATATCTCCCCTCCTCCCACCAATCACAATTAAGTTATCTAATTGTTCTTATTTTTATTTGGTAAAATACTTATCCAAGTCTGCTATTTCTCAAAATTGCTATTTTCTTCATTTATATGCTAAACACATCACTATTTTCTCTATACCACAGTTTTCAGAAAAACTTTTTGAGGTATAGATTCTTATTTTCAAGAACAGCTGAGGAAGAGGTCCTGCCTGAGGAGTGTGTCCCTCAGGCCATCTGTTCCCAGGAAAGAGTGCAAACCACGAGTGCAGATAAGGACATGGACATTCTCTTTATGATGAGAATATTACTCGTTTGAAAGTAAACTCACAGGCGGCAACACACAAAGAAAAACCAAACGTACTCCGAAGTACTTAAAGTTTTGGATTACCCTCAGCTCCGTTCTGTTGGTGCAGGTAGTTAAAACCTGCCTCTATGGGCAATAACCAAGAGAGAAAGGAATGCCAGGTGTTCTAAGCAGAAATCATCTGCTTCATTCCTTAGGCCAGAGAGTCAATGCTCAGTTCTACATGGCTACCACTTTATTAAGATAAACAGCTGACAGTGAGGTAATAAATATTACCACCCCTATTATACCACCAATCTGAATTACTGGGGATGCTAACAGACAAGGCCCCTCCTCTCTAGGAGCATACAAGCTAGTTGGGGCTGTAGGATAGATACCTAATGTCAAGTTAAGCAATATAACTATTAAATAAAATAGAAGCTGCCATAAGGCAGTATAAGAGTGAAAAATCAATAGCAAAAACAATATTATATGGTATAAACAAGTACCACAGAAGGTTAGGAGAGGAAAAGAACACTATGGATTTTTTGGTGTGATTTTTGCCTTGAAGAATATTCAATAAAGAAAGGGGGGTGGGGTGGGAGTTGGGGGGGGGGGACATGCTAGTTAGTCATAGAAAATCGTAAGTTAAAATTGGAGATTAGTACAGATTCTAAGTGATGCTCTGGCTGGAGTGTAGCTCAGGGTTTAGCTATTGTAGGAATTCAAATGAGAAAGGCGCACTGAAGTCCAAATGTCCAGGATATTGTACAGTCATGTACTAATGATGAAAAGTGGGGCAACTGAGACATAATGAATGAGTCAAAAGCACTAAAAACAAGTACTTGGGGAGGAGGGAGAGTGAGAAAGAGGGAAGAGGAGGAGAAACAGGAGTGTTTGTTCAAATGAGGTGAGTGCTGGAGTAGTTAGTCCAAAGCAGAGGCAAAATCCAGCAAAACAAGCATTTCCTAGAAGAAAGGCTACTTACATGCCTAACAAAGGAGATAAGAGGAAGGTAGACAATGGTAGTTGTTTTACAGCTTACTCTACAGAATGATTCAAACCAAATTACTAGCTAACTCATGTTGGAAGAAATCAGGTAATTTAAAGTGTGGAGGGGCAGCCCACCCTGTGTGGTTCAGTGGTTGAGTGTCGACCTATGAACCAGGTTGTCAAGGTTCGATTCCAAGTCAGGGTGCATACTCTCTCTCTCTCAATCTCCTTTCCTCTCCGAAATCAATAAAATATATTTTAATAAAATAAAGGGAAGAGGGGCGGCAGAGACAGAGCTTCAAGGAGAAGAATGAAAAAGGTGGCCAAATCCACAAAAAAGATAAAGCTGCTAAGAGTTATAGAACCACACTGCAATTTGTGCATAGAATTCAACACTTAGGCTTGACGACACCAAACTTCAGAAAGAAAGAGCATTGTGGATGGGATGGGTGGGAGTGAGAGAATGGGAGGAGAGAGGGAGAAACACCTAAATGAGGACACCTAGTTGAGTGACAAGGAAATGACCTCCAGCAAGAGGATGCGTTCTCTCAAAGAGCCTTGCGCTGAAACAGAAGAAAAAAGGTAAGATGGTGGCTAAAGGGGAACTCAGGATGCCAGGTGGAAAAGACAAGTGAGCCCTTTTGTGCTGAGGATAAAGAAACAGAGAAGAAAATGGAGCATTCTGGGAGACAAGGCAAAATGGGAGAGGTTTTTGATAAGAAAAGGGATTTCTTTATAAACCTAAACCTAGAAGAGATGTATATTCATCCTGGTAAGTTTTTGGTAAAACAGGCAAGGGATGCAAGGAGGCTGCTTAACTTCGCCAGTGCCAAGTGAAAGGGTCATTATCTGGTTAAAAATGGAGGAGCAAGAAACTTGGCTTGGGGACAGGAGGGAAGATTAGAAGGCTATTCGGAGGACAAGACAGGGGTGTCCAGGGGCATCCTGGAGGGTTTTATAAAAACAAAACTTGCCACAAAGACTTAAATTCCTTAGTTATTCCTGGTGGGAACATAAACTGTTGAAACGTCTCTGGAATACACTTTGGAAATCTGTAATCAAAGCTTTAAATGTTCATGTATGTTGACCTGATAATATATTTCTAAAAATAAAGCAAAAAAAATATATATATATACAAGAAACAAAGATTTAAGTATACGTGTGTTTAAAGTATGTTTTAATAATAAAAATTGATAACACTTAATAAGAGGGGTAAAGTATATTAACTATGTAACAATTAAAAATAATGCATTTAATTAAATCACATGGGAAAACACTAATATAATTGTAAAAATTTAAAACGTAGAACATACAATATACCATGATTCTAATTTTGTAAAGTACATACTTAGAACTACCCTCTCCCACCAATACACTTAAATGAACCTGGGTAAGTTATAAATAAATAAAAAATTAGCAAGATATAGGCTTTATACCCTTCTACATTTTATAAATGTGTTACTTTTATAATAAGAAAAAGTTTTTACCAGAAAGAATGGTTTCTCAATAAACAGTACTAGAAGTTTGTTGCCCATTAAAAAAAAACACACACCTTAGATCCATCCTTCACATCATATACAAACTTAACACTAAGTGAATCACAGCACAAATGTAAAACTAAAGTTATAAAAATTTTAGAGGAAAACACAGACTAAAATCTTGTCACGCTGAGTCAGCAGAAAGCCCTTGGCTACAACACTAAAACCACAACCCATAAAACAACAAAATGATAAAATGAATTTCATTAAAATTTTAAACTGCTCTTCAAAAAACAATGTTAAGAGAATGAAAAAACAAACAAATAATAATTTTAAAAAAACAAGCCGCTAGAAGAAAATCTTTGCAAAGCACAAATCTGATACAGAACTTATATCCAGAATATGTAAAGAACTTCCAAAACTCCATGATAAGAATACCCAATTAAAGAATGGACAAAATATCTGAATAGACATCTTAAGATAAATGGATGGCAAATAAGCACATGAAAAGATGCTCAACATCATTATCACTAGGGAAATGCAAATTAATACCACAGTGAGATACCACTATCTACCCACCAGAATGACTAAAATTAAGAAGACTGACCATCTGATGGTATCAAGTGCTGGTGAAGATATAAGGCTAATGAAATCATATACCACAGATGAGAATGTAAAAATGGTACAATCACTTTAGAAAACAGTTTGGCATTTCTTAAGTGAAACATATGCCTATCACATGACACAGCCATTTCATACCTATTATTTACCCACAAGATATGAAAACCTTATACAAAGACTTGTATGTGAATATTCATAGCAGTTTTATTTGCAATAGTCAAACACTAAATACAACCCAAATGTCCATCAATGTGTGATTGGATAAACTGTAGTAGAATCAGATAATAAACTACTAATAATTTGAATGAAAGTCAGGCAAGAAAACCCACACACAAAAAAACAGAGAGAGTACATATTATATTAGAGGACTGGTACACGAGATTCGTGCACTGCGGGGGGGGGGGGGGGGGGAGGGGAGATGTCCCTCGCATGTGCCCTCTCTCAGTCTAGGACCCCTCAGAGGATGTCCTAAGCTGGATCGGGACTAAGCTGGCAGTCAGACATCCCTCTCGCAGGCCGGGGCTCTTGCAGTCCGGGACCCCTTGCTCCTTACCACCTACCTGCAGCGGAGGCAGGAGAGGCTCCTGCCACTGCCTCTGCGCTCACCAGCTGTGAGCCCGGCTTCTGGCTGAGCAGCGCTCTCCCTGTGGGAGCGCACTGACCACCAGGGGGAAGCTCCTGCATTAAGCGTCTGCCCCTGGTGGTCAGTGTGCATCATAGTGACAGGTCATTCTGCCATTAGGTCGATTTGCATATTACGGCTTTTATTATAGAGGATAATTCCATTTATATAAAATTCTAGGAAATGCAAACTAATCTGTAGTGACAGGAAGTAGCTCAGTGGTTATCTGGGGACAGAGGAGGGATCATTCACAAAACACATGAGCAAACGTCTGGGAATGATGGATATATTTACTATGCTAATTATGGTTTCAGGAATATAAACATATGACACAAATTGGTAAATTGTACACTTAAAATGTGTGCAATTTATTAAATATCAATTATAAACTCAAATTATAAAAGGAAACATTTTCATATTGAGAAAAACTTAAAACTAGTAAGGATGAAAAACAAATCTTCCTGTGGATTTACTTAACTTTGCAAAAAAATCCAAAACAACTTTCTGTGAACTGATAAACTAAAACTCTTTATAAGGGCAATGCCTCAAAAGGACTAAAATCTTTCCTTCCCATTTAGAAGGGGGGGGAAAAAGAGGAATATGGGCTTAGTGTAAGAGTAACATTCAATCTTTACTAGAAAGGATACATGTCTGGGCAGTTTTTACTTTTTATTTTATTTTGGATATAACATATTTTCTTTGTTAGTTGATGGACATTTAGGTTGTTTCCACATTTTGGCTATTATGAATAGTGCTGCTATGAACAATTTGTGCACAAATTTTTGTATTGATATGTTTTTATTTCTCGTGTATGTATATATGTAGGAGTGGAGTTGCTGGGCCATAT